CAGATATAAATAGAAACCATAAAACTACTCACCAGATATAAATAGAAACCATAAAACTACTCACAAAATATGTATAGATACCAATTACCTTAAAACTAAAAAGACAATATCATACTAGATACGAAACTTGAACCAGAAGTAAAAAGACACTATGATGTTAGAACAAAAGGTGAAAAGACACTATTATACTAGCACCTGAAGTAAAAAGACACTATGATACTAGGACCGGAAGTAAAAAGACACTTTGATACTAGAACCAGGAATAAAAAGACACCATGATACTAGCAACGGAAGTAAAAAGACACTATGATACTAGGACCGGAAGTAAAAAGACACTATGATACTAGGACCAGAAATAAAAAGACACCATGATACTAGCAGCGGAAGTAAAAAGACACTATGATACTAGGACCGGAAGTAAAAAGACACCATGATACTAGCAGTGGAAATAAAAAGACACCATGATACTAGCAGCGGAAGTAAAAAGACACCATGATACTAGCAGCGGAAGTAAAAAGACACTATGATACTAGAACAAGACGCACCTGAAGTACTATGTAGTATATTCATTTCTACAGAAATGGATAGTTTCACATGCTTACTTATTAGATTGTTGATATTTAAAAACAATTTAAACATTTAAAACAAATAGATTACAACCATGGTCCTAATAATGTATTTTACACTTAAGTTCCTTGGGAAGTACTCTCTTCCAAATCCTATTGAAGTTCATATAATGTCCGCAAAGGACATTTTTTGAGAGACTGCTTGGCCTATATGTTTTAGTGTAGTCGTGATTAATGAGATAGGATGATGTGCCAATCTGCTACGGCTCAAGTTCTCTTGAATTCGTAATATCATTTTACATCGTATGTTAGCAGGTAGCTGGGCACTGCTCCTTCGTGAATGCTAGTTAGATTTGGTGTACGCTTGGCTGAGGCAAATTAACTCACAACAAAATTATCTAACATAGAATCAACATGTGGATGTGAAACAACAAATTATCCCAAACTGTTAAGTAGCCAAAATTATACTGATCTTTCGTTTGTATTGCCACTCTCATTTAAAGTCGCTTAACAGAGAATGTCACCCACAGCTCGTATCTATTACTGTATCAACAACACTCTGTAGTCTCATTTATATTTTGAAACATTTTCAGCCATTGCGAAAAAGAAACTTGCATCGTCAAAGTCGCATGCTATTTAATAAACTTTTTCACTTTGCCACAGGTCGGTAGATCACAACAGATAATGCGTATTCCCAACTACAACACAACTTCTCCATCACAAATCGTTCGCCATTGAAGAAAACCGCGATCTGCAAGGCAACCATAGAAAGATGATTGCCTTTTCTAGTATTAGACATCTCCCGTTTGGCCCGATACGAAGTGCCGACACGAAACGGACACCGACTTGGTGTTTTGTTTTCTTGTTTTTTTTTGGACGGTCTCAAACTATAAAGGCAAAAGGACTTTCCAAAAAGACCGAATCTGTTTTAGTGTGCAATCATGTGTATGATACTATTAATATAGTCCGTAATTTCTCACAGGCCCCTGTGTACAAGGGTAAAGTAATAGCCACCGATATTTTAATAGAAATTAAAGAAGTTTCGCTGTCCGTACTCCAAATACCTTCAACAATTTTGGGATCATTTTGGTAATAAATTTGTTATATTACTTCTGATTGTTTAGTAGCAAGGCGGACAATATCTTTTGTTTTTTCTTGTCTTTGATACATGCGTGTCTGGCAGCTGTAAAGATTCCGATTATCATGACGATGGCATAACCACTTCGACTCATTTCCTTGCCATTTGTCCCGAGCCAGCATCAGTCACAAAAGGCTCCGCCTCCTTTGACGAAGGTTGTGGGGCGACTTGAGTTGTGGAACTTGTTTCACGAATTCGCCGTACCTTCTGGTTGATATGTATTTTCAGTATTTTCTCAATACCCTCCTGAATTTTTTTCTAAGTTACTGAAGAACCTCCGGAGTCAATGCGAGACATTATAAAGAATTAACACCGAGGTTCCGAAGGAAACAAGTAGTACACATTCACTTTCGCCACAGCATACACACTATGGTTATAATTGACAATTCAGGCATCTTACGTTTTGTTCGAAGTAGTTTTCTTGGTCATCTGATGATGCTCAAATTTTGACATTTCTACCCAATATAAGCAGAAATATCGAGATTGTTTCCTTATAATTGTTTAATTTTGGACAATATGATCTTTACAGATAGAAAATATTCTAAACTAAATATGTAATTATGTGTAATAAAAAATGAAAGTAGAGCATTCTTTAAGGCAAATGAAAATCTATCGTGCTTTAGGTACACTCCAATGTCATCACGCTGGTATATATCCTTGTTGTGGACACTTGCTGTGCGTAGAGCCAGTTTGTTTGCCGCTTACTGCATTCACAATTTCTATTCATTTCGACCCCAATTTCACATTCTGAGTCATAGTATTAAGTGGATAAGATGAAAACAATCTAGTTTGATTACCGTTTACTCTTCTTCATACAATGTTTATTTTGTAGCTCGACGTTAAACAACTTTCTGTGTATCTGTATAAGGAGACGAAGCTAATTTTAAGGTTTTAAAAAGGTCTGTTGATAGCAATGTCAAACTGACTCAAACACAAGCAAGGATAATCAGAACGTTCATCGAACTTCTAACGTCATATTGCAAAAGAGAAAACAATATTTCCAACAGGAACAGGAAACTCTATACTTATTTAAAGTTTTCATAAACTGCCATCACTTAAATGCACGTGCCTTGTCTCTCAGCTGACAGAAATCGTGAAATTGGTCACAGTTTGTTATCGGCTTAAATCTTATATTTTTTAGTTTAAAAAAAGGCCGTCATTAACAACGTGTTACCAAAACTAAAATGTTTTTCAAAATTGAAACGAAGTCGGAAATATAAATAAATAAATATAAATGAATTTTGAGCCAGTCGTTAAAAAAGGACATTTGGGATATAATCAAGTGAGTGTTATAACACAAAACATGCATATTTTGCATCGCTTTAATAACATTTTTCCTCTGCAATCAATTTGCTATATTAAATAACACAAAATAACATTCACTATGCTATCTAACAATCTTCGTTAAAAGCTTACATAACAGACAAACAAGACAAAACTCTAGAGAAGCAAATCCAACATAAATACAAGATCTGTTTACGTCCTAAAGATCCACTTATCATCAGAATCACTGTCTTGTACACAGTGTTGCATATAATCAGTATCCTGCAATGGTCTTGAACGATACACATAAAATTAATTTTGAGAATAAAATATTGAAACAAAATACAATCACAGAAAAAGAAAATTCCGGACTAAACGACATTCACATAATTTGAAGAGGATTTTTTTTTCATTTAAATTTCGTTTTCAAAATAAAATAGAGTATGGTTTGTGTTAATGTTAGTTTTACGCTAGTTTTGTTTCACGACCTGTGAGTACTGTATAATCTTGATAGGAATACTATTTTACTACAAACAGTATTTTAATTTAGATATTCAAACGAATTTATTCAAACATTTGTCTCACTCAAAATTCACTGGGTTAGCGAACTTGTATTATCAGATTAACTGTATTATGTTATTTAAGTATTCTTGTCTCCCGATACAGCGGACAATAAGATCACAGACTACAAACAGGCCACGACAGGGAGACAATGATTATAACACAAAGTTAAAGCCACTTGATATTTCGGAAATTCGTCTGTTTATAAGCAGCCGTTTAATTGATTACCTTTAATCAAAATCTGACATCTAAAGGGATCATTTGCTCTGAATACTAAAACCACAAAGATCCTGTATTTATTGGGGTTGCTATGCGTACAGCCTACCAGGGATTTTTATCCAATGAAAGTTCGGATTTTATTTTCATTGTTACATTTGTAGTTTGTAGCCTTTCCTTAGTTTTTATTTCTTCACAAGATTTCTAGTCCAGATTCGTTCATTGAAATTACGTAAGTAACTTCACAAATTACGTAAGTAACTTCACAAGTTACGTAAGTAATTTCACAAATTAAATACGCAACTTTGCAAATTACGTAATTCGTAAGATTAGCATTAGCGTGTAAAAAAAAAACAACTTTTATATATGGAATCTGGGTATCGACTGATGGATGTCTTATTGGTACTAATTCGTATTATCGTTAACCAGATGAATCAGATAGTAATGATTAATAACACATTCTTAACGGCCGTCAACACATAAAAAGTCATTATGGCCATTGTTGAATCAGATAATAATGATCTTGAAATCAAATGATTTAAGTCATAAAACAAATTGTGATTTTTTTGTTCGTTTTCATTGGGTTTTATTGTTTGCTAATAAAATAAAATAGAAATATTGAAAATTAACTTTGCAAAATAAGTTATTATTCGTTTCGTGTCTTTCATGAAAAATAATTTCTTTCTTAATTAATTTCTTTAGTGAAACCGCAAAAAAAATGAGCAATTAAAATAAAGCAGCATGTTCATTAATCGTGTTTTAAGAATAGTTAAGAAATGTTGATGTTAAAATCTCAAATGCAGTGTTCAATAATAATTGATATAAATAATTGTTTTCCTAACAGCCCAGCCAGGAACAATATTTCACTTTTCTTTTCATTTCTTTCATTTATTTTTTTCTGATAAAAATTGCTTGGATGTTCATTTCTTCAGACTTCGAACAAATGAAAATAAAATCATAGATTACAACATTCATTTCTTTGCATTTAGAATTTTAATCCCAAAATACTTGCCATTGAAATCAACATATACGTATAACATGAGGTCAATACCATTTTTTCTTATACTTTACGTTTCCTGACTATTTTTTAAATTAACCACGTTTGCTTCTTCTCGAAGAAAACATCACTACGTATTTCATATTCTTTGAAAACCTATTTTAAGACAATCTGTAAATATCTAGCTATTCTATAGAAAATCGTAATGTTACAAGAATGATTAGACGCCTTGGGGAAGAGGCGCTTTATAGTTTAATTATCATACCAGGTTAGAACTCCCTTTAGAAACATCATTCAGTAGATTCTTCATTGATTGGAGAACATCTGGGTCTATTGCTGCTCTATCTGCGTTTTTAACAACATATTTTAAGCTCGTAACTAATCCTGTGTATGCTTGCTCACTGCCCGGTTTATTTGAATGATTCAACAATTTCTTTTTAAGTTTATTCACAACTTTCTTCCAAGAAGATGACGAAAGACCATTTACCTTTGATGAGCCTGAAGTCAATTTATGAGTGGCAGTATCTAATGCTTGGTGTTGTTTTACCACTTTAGAGGGAACCGGCTGCTTTTGCTGTATGACTGCCTTGGAAGATTTAACTCTACTTTGTCTTGATCTTGTTCGCGTTTTTATTCTTCTTGCCTTCTTTGCTAATCTTGCAGCTTCTCTTCGTTGTTTCTTGGCAAGCTTTGCTGCTCTCCGCTTTTCTTTGGCTGCCCTCCGTCTTTCTTTTTTCGTCATTTTCACGGGCTTTGTTCTTGACCGTCGTACACCATTACCACGCGTGTTTGAATTCATGGACTTTAATTTGCTCGGTACAGACGTGGGAATACTATATTCGGACTGTATTACATTTGCAGACTGCTGTGATTTACCAGCTGCAGATGTGATTGGTTCTTCTGGAGCGCTTATGACTGCTTTTTCTGGAAGACCCATGACTGCTTCTCCGGGAGCACTTATTACCATGCCTCGTCTTTGATGATCAGTAAAAAGAGATTCTGTGTTTTTCGTTCTATGAACCTCGACCTTTTTCCATTCAAATCGCCTCTTTGAAGGAACGTTTTTACTGTGCTTGTTCTGTTTACTTCCCTTAACTTGTTTTATATCACGTTGATTACTCTCAATTTGTTTTGGCGGTGTTTTCTGACGTTCTGCTTTTCTTGGAACATTGGTGGTATGTCGGGCCATAATCTGTGTCGGCATTGGTGGATTCGTTAGGGAGACGGTTTGCCGTGAAAGAAGCTGCTGAAGCTGACCTGTAAGACTTAGACCACTGATGTCGATTTTATCAGGAACTTTCGGAGGTGGAGATGGTAGTGAGGGAGCGGACGTAGCATCAGTTTGTTTATGGACGACATACTTTCCATTCGGAGATAAGGTGTTGGTATTTGCATCCATTACAATGTCTGGACCAACTGTACCGGGACTTTTTGTGAACCCTGTGACTGATCTTTTCGTGAAACCTAACGTTTTTTCTTCTGGAGGAGCGTCATAACCTATACTTATATCTGCACAATTTTGGAACTGCTCTTGTGGTCCACATCCCAGGCAACTATTCCCATCTAGGTCTTTTCCCCAGCTGTTTCCTGAAAGAAGAGGAAGTAGAAAATATCAAAATTGAATTCATTAAAAATCTTGAATTGTATGTTCAGATGATATTGCCTACCAAACATTCTTAAGCAATTAAAGTACATGATTGAGTTTTTTCATCGTACTCACTGTACATAGTTTAAAAAGACATCAATCATTGCTTCTCATATTTTTTTGAAAAATAGTATCAAGAAGTGTACATTTCATCAAAATGATGTAATTCAAAGTGAATTTACCAAAAAGTGTTAGTATCTAAATTACGTAGATCCCATAGTGTCTGATTCTATAATGTTTTGAAATTGAATTGGAATCGAATGAGCATAATAGCCTACGGACTATGAAATCGTTTATATATAAGATACACGTAAAATTTATGGTTATTGAACGTGATGTTGAGGTTAAATGACCTAAAGTGCTGCACTTAATAACAAATTAATAGTCACGATATCATATAAGAAGCATTTGTATTCGAATCGCTCAGCGAGGGGGATAAATAGTCACTAGGGATAACAAAAATCTATTTTTATGCAGCTAGTTATTTGATAAATATTAATTTGATGCGGAAACACCTAAATTAGATGTAATTGACCGATATTTTGGCGAACTTCAACGTAACTGATTATTTTATGATGTCAGCAACAATACGACTGATACCTGTTTTATACTTCCATTGAAGGACACACTGGCTACATTGTAACCCCTTTGGGATTTCGACAGTAAGGTCCAACACGCCACCTTTTGGAGGGTAATACTTTCTGCCTTCCTTATCCTTCTTTGCCTCTTGTATCTTTAATGGGTACTGATCCAGACATTCTTGTTTCACGGGTGAAAGCGGGTCATTGTGAGGACAGATCTTGAACTCAAAAAATCCTTTGTGATAGGCGTTCACCGTCACTGTAACTTTGATTTCTGTAGTACCGAGTGGATACCTTTCACCAATTATCCCGAGGGCATATTTACCACCTGCCTCATGTTCGTGTGGTCCGTAATAGGAATCGCCACACGTTCCACATTTTTCACCTACTTGTGTGAAATACTTTTTTATGAAAAAAAGAAAGAAAATCATGCTTTTATCACAGTGATGACATTATCAGAATATTTTCAGTACACAAGACTGTTTTTACAAACGTGTTGAGAAAGTATTGGAAATGACGTTATTGAATAATTACAGATAAATAAGGTGACTTTATTTTTTAAATTACACTGTTTATCATTGGACATATTTCAGGATGATGACGTAGAACGGCCCAAGTAAAATTTATCCATTATTAATTTGTTGAAGATTTTTCGAACTCCGATGAAGAAATATGTCAAATTTTGAGCTGTTGTTTTCTGATTATCATCGTATCATTGTGCTTAGAAATGTACTAATCTATTTGTAATGCCCTTCAAATGCCCTTCGACATAATACACAAAAGTTAATAGTCCCTTTTTCATACAAATCTATAGAGAGATAGAGCAGAGTCAAACAATGTATAAAACTGCATCATATAACTGTTTCGTCCTTCTAGGACTCGTCAGTGATGCTACATCATATAGCAGTTTCGTCCTTTTAGGACTCGTCAGTGGTAATGTTTAGGGCCTTAATTTTAGAGCCTAAGACGTGACTGAGAAACATCCAAAATGACCAAAATACTATTGTTTTTCCAATACATATTCAATCCGACGGAAAATCTAAATCTAATCATAAATTGAAATTTTAATTCAATTAATTTATTCATATCCGACTGTTTAGAAATCTAAAAATGTGTGTCTCTTACAAATTTCTCTCATATATTGCATAATTTTTGCTTTCAAATCAACTGATAAATATGATATTTTTTGATGATTTTGATTTCCAGTTACAGTACCTACATTGTAATTACATCATTTGTAGATTAAACAATATCAAATCAAAGTGTGCGGGACAAAAATATCAATATATACAGGCTATCTGAACATTTAAAATATCTTATCTCAAAAAATGTCAACGGATTTTACAACCAACAATGAATATCATAAGTAATTCATGAGATATGTAAATTAGCAATAAATACTAATGTACAGAGATAAGTGAAGCAAATGGACATAAGAAATAAGATGCAATTCAGTGAGTCATTAGTACGATAACACGTGATCAATTTTACTGACAGGCAGGCCCCCACACCAGAGGGCGTTGTCATTGTAGTTGATTGGTGAGTCGTGTCCGTGTCGCCATAGTGACGATCGCTGTGGAGGCCAACTGAGGTACCCATGCTGGTCAGATACACGAACGTATGATGTAAGCAAGAGAGCTATCAGATGAAATCCCAACATGTTGCTGAAAATAAAAAAGGACAAAGACTTATATTAAAGTTAAAGCATACCCAAATATGTATAATAATGACGTATTTTCTATGGACTATGGTACTGTATATCACAGATTGCGAAAAGTTCGATTTCGCTTAATTCTCAAATCAAACGGTCTTTTCTTTTTGTTCAATTTTCACTTTTCTTCCCCAAAACTATACCTTGAAAATGGTCCATGTTCACAGAGAGTTATGAAACAGATCATATGTGAAATGTATTATCAGAATTTATTGAGAATATTTCCACCATTATACTTTTAAGTATTACACATTTATTGATGTGAGAAGATGCAGATCGTAGTGTCTACACTAGAATCAATAACAGTAAATAACAGTTGAAGGATTTAAAGCCAAGCGGAAAAAAATCTTAAAATCACGGAATATTTTTCCTTAGATATAAATGTTTTTGCTGTTCACATTCAATTGAACGTAATGCATCGGAGTGCCTTTCAATACTTTATTTGTCAATAAGACCGACAATGTTTAAACGTTGTCACTCAGTAAGCGGTCGACCTTTCATTATTCAATATGCCTATGTCAAAAGTGATAATACTATCAAACATTGTTCTATATCAAAGATTCACAGAGAACTAGAAACGCATAAAGTAAATTTAACCACAATTTAAAACATTGAGATGTAATATGTCTCTATTCATAGTTAATTTTTTTTACATAAAAAACATACGATAGCATATCTTAACACAATCGGTTTAAAGATGTATAATAGAAATGCTCAAATTTGATAAATTCACAAAATCACAATTTTGACGTGTGCAGCTTCCCAAGTTTCGACTTTCGTTTGAACGAAATAAAAAAAAAATATTAATTATTGTATGTATACGTGGAGATTTTGATCTTTTGTGAGTAATTTGGGAGTACATTTAACACTTTCTTATCAAAACATTTACGATGACATTAACACTATTTAATTCGCTGAATAACATTGGTAATTAATTTGTGACGAATATCCCCCATCAATCACAGATAACACTTACCTCTAATGGCTTTTGCTAATATTGATTTATAACGTTTTGACAAGTGACAATATGTATCACACAGACACATATTTCATTACACGATAGAAGAAGTACTACTTAACTCGTCTCAGGAAACAAAACATATAATTATTCTGTTGTCGGAAGATGTGCATCAATTACAAATCTTACGTTTTTTTGTTTGTTTGTTTGTTTATTTTTGTTTGTTTGTTGTTGTTTTTTCGAGAGCGGGGGTTCTTTTTTTAAGTTAAACGTTTATTTTGCCAATATCAATTTTTTTCATAATTACACATAAAACACATCACCTGTCCAAATAAACAAATCTATACAATATATTTAAACAAACCACTGACCGATAGAACTAGAGTCAAATTGACCAATAGAACCAATGTATCAATGCATAGGGCAACTACTTTAGCGAGAACTGTGAACGTGCACGTTTCCGAGTGGAGCTTGTAATCTTTTACTGGTAAACAACATCATGTGAAACTAAAAAAAAACAAACAAAAACAAGAAGAAACGTTTACAAGAATACCCTTCAAAAGTCATAAGAAGAAGACCAGGCGTTCCGGAAGGGTACTCCTGTTTCATCGACGATACCGCCCACGAACATTGGTATGGTCAGCCTGACAAAGTTATGTCACATTTCATACTCTCAAAGAACAAGCTGGGGTGATAGCATCAAAATCATGCAGAAAAACTAAAGTCAACCATCAGGCGAACAAGTCGGCATTTATGCGAGCAATAACGGAAGTCACCGTAACACCACAACCCTTCCAGGACACCGCCTTTTGTGTCAAAATACGAATACGTACCAATTTTCATGGAAGCGGATGATATTTTGATTTCGACCAAAGTCCAGAAAATTACGGCCATTTTGTTGAAATGCGAAACTGAGGACACATAAGTATTGGACCGATGTCCCATACTTATTCTACAGACAAATTAATATGGATATCAGACAATATTTAAAATTTGACCAATCAGAAGTAGGTATTTTTCAGCAATGATGTATCACAAGTTGACTCCTTTAGTAGAAATGAACATTATCACATTATTATCCCATTTGCAAGGTTTTATAATGCTTTATTACTTAGAACAAAAGTTCTTTCTAAATATGATTTCTGCATATCAAAATGACGTTTCCGCCATTAAGAAAAACAGACGTCAGAGAAAAGAAAGTTGCATACGTAGACATCATATTGATGATGCAGGTTTCATTGAAATCCACCAAGTAATTGATAATAAATAAAAAACAGAACAATAAGTCCCCTGGCTTCGCTGGAGTGACTTAATTACTAATCCGGATTTACATCAGTATGTATTTTACATACTTACAAGTTAATGAAAATTTTGAAACCCCGTTATTTGCATATAGATGTAGCAACTTCACGTATTATATGTTCATTGTTAGATTACAAAAATCAGCAACGATTCAAGATTAACAATGCTTGAAGCACAAGTCTATAAAATACAGTTTATAGCTTAGAACAGTTGTGTAAAAATCAGTCATTTAGTTTTTGTTACAATAATTGATGTATTCTGTCGTGATAGTGATAAATTTGTTAAGGAAATAAAGAACGGTGCAGACTCATTGTGTGAAATGAAACCCAATTAAAATACTCCAATGACAAGTGTCAAAAACATTCAATTTGTTATGTAATCTGGTGAGTGATTACTGATATGTCGAAAGACAGCATAATTTGTCCATGAAATGGGATGACTGTATAGATGTGCCACATCTACTCTTTTGTTCTTACTTCAATTCAATCTAAATTCATTTTCATCATAAAAATGTTTATGCATGTAAATTTGAAAGAACTCTATAATTGGAATCCGATTAGAAAGCCGTACGTACTTGTATGTAGCATTATTTAACGTGTTTGTAGTGGTTACTCATTTGATTAATGTTTAACCATTAAATTATTTCTAATAGAATACGAATGCTAAAAGCACTTGGAGAACCGACATATAATGCTGATCTTTAACTCTGTCTTTTCCGACCGCGTAAACTAAACTTAAACTTCCGTTAACAATCTTTCGGTTCTTAAAAACAAATTATGTCATAGTCTTTGAAAATATCTGAGTAACTTCAAGTTTTTTATTTTGAAATGTTATCATACGCTAAGTTTGATTATATCTTTACCAGTACATGTGGCTGTATGTTACAAATCCATTGTGAAGGTAGCATCCGTTATGTATGTATCCTGTTATAACATCAATGCATATCTCGCTACAAATTTAACGTACATATAATATCATTACATTATGTTGTTTGGTTGTATATTGAAAGCGAAAAATCAAGATAAATGGAAATATTCAATATTAAAGATACATATGTCTAGAATCATTATAAAAAGTATTTGAATTCTATCGAATGGCTTTATGCTTTATAAGAAGAAGATATGACTGCTTGACTAAGAAATAACTGGTCATACTGTTCTTATAATATGCCTGTTCTAAACAGTGAAAAAAATTGTGGTAGATGTTATGTGACAAACTGAGTAGAACAACATTTAAAATGTGTATTACACACTGACCTAAATTATTAGAAAGACATTTGTTTGAATGTCTGTACAATTTCTATATTATGAAACATCGGCATTGTCATGTCTGAATAAATTTGTGAAAACAAATATACTTCAACCATTAAATCCTGATGTGAGTGGCGTCACACGCAGAATATACATTTCATATCTGAATTCAATTTGCAAGTATATCTGTAATTAATGATTTATTCAATAGTTTGGTGAAATATTTGATAAATTTCAGGCCACGTGACACTCTGTATTGTTATAAAGGAATACGTTTGAGAAACACAAGTATTTCAATTGAAGGGCACATGGGGTGAAATGAAAATTTTCAATTGTTTTCAAATCTTTCGCTGTCTAAGAGGTGGGTAATATCTCTCGTAACTGAAATATGAGAATGCGTATTACTTTACTTCAAAAACATTACTTGTTACTTAGCATTTATCAATAGAATAAAGAACCTTTCAAATCACTCTACTTGTACAAAACGATTTGTTGGATTACTTCGAGTGGACGTAAGTCAGATTATAGATTTAATACCAGAAAACCTACACGTAGTTTTTTTTAACAACTTTTCTACCAAGGCTGATTACAGAGTAAGATCTTTGACGATATAAAACATCAACATCGGTAGAAGTTTATGATATACATTGCTAAATAAAGAAAGATAGTGCAATTTATTAATGAATAATTTTGCCTAAATCTTATACGACTGCATAACCCTTAACCTCTATCAAAGCACAAAGTCAAGCTATCTTAATGATTAATGATATGCATAATTATGATGACCAAAATAGCAAGGGCATTATAACTGTCTCTTTAGCACGTGTTACATATTATAATTATTATATATAGATACTGACATCAGTGACAGATAATCAGTTATAACTTGTCAAATTTTAATTTTCTGTAGTTTTACAACATAAATCCTTTTTCATCATCTTTTTTATTTCGAACCAAGGTGGTTTTGTTACAAGTTAAATTAAAATATATCTACATCATTATCTGCATATATTATACTAGTTATAAAAGCTATAAACTATATTTATTTTACAACAATTGCGAAACAAGTTATTTCAGCTTATACTAATCACTTTTGTTGGCCCGGTGTAAGCGCGCGAGGGGTCTGATTGTGGGAGGAAACCGAGGTACCCGGGGAAAACCCGCCGAAAACAGGACGCTCGGTAAAAGGCGAGTGAGTTACTACTGCGCCATCCGACCACCCAGGTATGAAACCTTGATATAAATGGTGATCACAACGAATTGAGCTAGGATTCAGGTATATATAGTTTGATCTCACCATAGCTCCTATTCAGTTTGAAGAAATTGTACATGTCATGCCCTATAACACTTCCCCTAAAGCTACAAAGATGGTCAAGGGTGAGCTACGACTTTGGAAAATGAAGATCTAATAATGAACAGAAAGGAGGATTTTGATATTG